CGACATACGTTTTGATTTAACTACTTTACACACGATATACGTTTTTTTTTTTAATGTAGTTTGATGGTCTTTGCCGAGCCAATTAGCCAGACAAATTTAAAGACAAACAATTTTTACAATCAGAGGAATTTTTTCTGTATTTCTGAATTTTTTTTCGTAAATATACAAACATCCGTACAATTTAAAGTACAATTTTTAATCAATTACAATTTTTTTCCTGTGCTAAGACATAACCCGATTCAACATCTCGGAGGTTTACATCTTCCTTTTTTAGTTTTTAATTCTTTAATTCATTTTTTTTTTGTTTGTTTATATATTTTTTTTATTTTGTAATTAATTTTTTTATATACATATTTTTTTATTTTTTTTTTCTGCTATAATATAATACAATATTTACTTAAATGTAAGGGTTAGTTTTAAAGCTACAATTTATATTTACAGTTTTTGATATGTTCGTAAATCGTTTTTTAATATATTGATATCTCTAGAGAAAATCAAATTGTTCAGGTAGACGGGAATTTTTAATATAATAAGATTATCATAAAATTTGTTTGTTTACTGATTCGTGGGAACATTCAAAGAAAATATGTAATAGGGATATACGTTTTGAATTTTGTAAGTTCTAATTTTCAGAGGTTTTTATTACAAAACTTTTATTGAAAAAATTAAAGAAAAATTATAACTTTTTCATGTAATTCATCCGCCTCTTCATCATTATCATCGTCACTGTTATTCATCCCCATCTTCATTTCTTCTGCTAAATTTTCTTCTTCTGAATCCTCGTTCCCACTTCCCTCCTGATTCTGATCAAATTCTTCAAATTAAACGGATTGACCGGGTTCAGTATTAAGCAACTTTTTCTTTTTTTTTTTTTTAATGGAATTTGAAAATTTTTTTTGAAAATTTGGTTAGTCTATTAGTTTTGTTATTAATTTAGGATATATGATTTTTAAGTATTTAGGATCAATGATTAGCCGAGATGGTACTTGTATGAAAGATATAGAAATGAAAATAGTACGGGGAAAACAAGCCACAAGAGCACTTCATGGAGTGATATGGAACAACACTCTAACCAAAGAAAACAAAAAGAGGATCTTTCAAAGCATAGCGGAATGATAGCCCTATATGGAGCGGAAGTATGGCCAATGACAACAACAATACGAAATAAAATAAGAACAGTTGAACTGGACTTTATGAGAAGATGTCTACAAATCACAAAGAGCGAATAGAATAAGAACGGAGGAAATATGTAACAGAATGGAAGTAGAATGCTCAATTACAAAAAAGTTGAAAAACAGAGCCCTGTAGTGGTATGGGCATGTACAAACAATGCCAGAGCATATATATATATATATATATATATATATATATATATATATATATATATATATATATATATATATATACATATATATATATATATATATATATATATATATATACATATATATATATATATATATATATATATATATATAAGGTTCTTGAACTCCTAAGTGGAGCATAGAGCTTCAGTGAAAACGCGCCATCGGGTTCTATTTTGCGCTAAGGCCTTCACCTTATTCCAAGACTTTCCTTGTTTTCTTATCTCGTCCATGATGGATCTTCTCCAAGTTTGTACTGGGCGACCTTTTTTTCGTTTTCCTTGGGGATTCCACTCTAGGGCAGTCTTTGCAATACTGGAGTTATTTTTTCGGAGTGTGTGACCGATCCAACCCCACTTTCTGGACTTTATTTCATTTACTACCCTCTTTTGTTTGGTCAGGTGTAGTAAGTCTTCGTTTCTGATGATGTTAGGTCAGAAAATACGAACAATTCTTTGTAGACATTTATTAACAAAGACCTGCAGTTTGTCTGTAAGGGTTTTTGTCGCTTTCCAGGTTTCACACCCGTAAAGTAGTACAGACATGACATTTGACTGGAATATGCGGATCTTTGTCCTCGTAGTGTATTCTCCAGACCTCCAAACAGGGTTGAGCATGCTGAAAGCTTGTTGCGCTTTTCGTATCCTCATACGAATATCCTCTTCTGTACCTCCGCTTTCTGTTATGACACTTCCAAGATACGTAAAGTTTTCCACATTTTCAATCTGCATGTTATTAATGGTAAATAGCGTGTTGTTTCTTGCATTTATTCTCATGGATTTGGTTTTACCAATATTGATTTTCAAACCTATTTTATTGGCTTCAGTGGAAAGTGTTTCCAATTGGTCAGCCACATATGCCAGAGCATAGGTGGCCGAAAAGAATATTAAACTGGAACCGCCGGGAAGAAGACGGAGAGGAAGACCTGCTACAAGATGGAAAACATACGTCGGAAATGCTATGATAGATAGAGACCTCAGAGAAGGTGACTGGGAGAATAGAGTGCTGTGGAGGACGAAAACGGCGAACTCATAATGGGAAAAGCCGAAGAAGAAGATTTTCTCAAATGAATTTAAGTTAGGTTGACTAAAACCAACCGAAGGGACGAAAAAAACCAACTTCAATTGGTTGCCTAAGCCCTGTAGAATTAGGTGGCCGAAATAAAAACCTTATATTTTTGTCCTTTGACAAGCATTTATTATCTCAATATTAAGATGTGAGGACAAGTTGTCCCCAATTAAGACCTTGGTGCTGTTTTGACCACGTAAAACAACTTTAAAAAAATAGTCTTGGAAAGGTGATGCATCAAACATCCAGATTATACAATATACAAGGAGGGGCTACCAGTTATCCATCTATCATATAATCTTTCAGCTCTCTACACGACATACAGTGGTAGGCGTTCTCCTGTTGCAGTAGCTGCGAACACTAGAGACACAGCGCTTTTAGTGGCATTCATGTATATTTCCGGGTATTTTGTCCCACGCCGAAATACATATTTTTGGGTACCAGGAAGTCACTGTCTCCAGTGGTCAATGGAGCAAACATGCATTAGTTTAATTTTGATCAGAATGTCACCTTAAAACGTTCCTCTGCCTGACAGAAACTAAACCTGCTCTGTTAAGGCAATACTAAATAAAACATACAAACAAAAATTTAGTCAATATTCCTACTAGTGTACACTCAGCAGTGTTTAGCTTTACCTAAAAAACTACAAAAATATGTTCAAATTTCTTACCTTATTACCAGCTCTAGCAGGTTAGATCACACTGTCTTGATTTCTGCATGTTTCTTAGTGCACACATAAACATCTGTGGTACTTTGCTATGTTGCCAAGTATTTTTTTACAAATATTATAACCTTTCTTTACAATTTGCAAAGTTAAATCCACTGGACAAAGTAGGCTATGTTTACAGTACCAATAGTTCCATAGTTCCCCTTCTCGCTAAGTGGCACAAGTAATTTAGGTATGTTCGCTTAACTTTTTTTAATAGCCTGTCTTTTATATAAAGCTATTCCAGAATTGAGAAGTGGGTTCCATGTTGCTATGAATAGCACTCTCTAAACACAATGTATTCTAATGTATTGTAAAGATAATCGCCACTGAATGAACTTGTTCCATATAAGAAAATAATAATTAATTATTAGAATAAATAAGTATGAAATACTTAATGAAAAAACTTTAAATGTGACAAAATAACAGTGGGGGTAGGCTGAGATACAGAAGTGGAAATTTTCGAACACATAAGTAAACTCAACAAATTAGTGGGATGCAAGGCCGGACTGGCTCATAAAAAAGGCACCAACCTAAAATGCGTCAGGTGCCCTCCTCCTAAATATTTATAGTTTATCAGAAATGTTCCAGCAGTGCGAATTGCTAAGAAAAAGATTGTAATCCTATCCATCTACCGAACAGAAGACTACCAAATACTTTGTGATTGTGATAAAAGTAAAAGCATTTCATGCAAAACTTTGTTTTTGGTCAACCTCTCTGCAAAACAAAATGATTTTCCATGCATTCAGGAGATTGTTCAAGATAATGCAACAGGCCAAAGTTATGCAGAATCAGCTCATATTTCTTGCATGATACAAAGCTTGCATAAGTTACAAGAGCACCTTTTGACATACTTTCCAGACTAACACTCTCTGGGTACTGACAATGGGTGTAGATGGATTTTAAACCTTTTTTGGACAAATCAATAGATCTGGCTTATGTCACCACAAAAATGAAAGAATGTCTTCTAGATTTAGCTGCTGATAGTATGATTAAAATGGAATTTTATTCGCAAAGTGTGGACATATTTTTGATGAAAAGAAAACATCAATATCCAGAGCTGGCAAGGGAAGTTCTTAAATTATTAAAGCTATTTGCCACTTCATACTTGTGTGAACTGGGATTTCCTTCAATGGTAGACATTAAAACTAAAAAGAGAAATAGACTCCAATTAGAAAATGATTTGATTATTAACTTTTCAAAAATAGCACCTCAATTTGATAAACTCTTGAGTTTTTTTTGTGTAAGAACCTCAACTTTTCTTTCAAAAAGAATAACTTTTTTGTAGAATTTAACACTTTTTCATATTTTTTTATTATTTTACCTACAGTTAAGCCAAAAAAAATTGTTTTGATCTACTAAATACAACCAAGTGTAACTAGCACAAGTAATGCTAAATTAGAGTCTAAATTAGCAATCGTTATTGCCTGCATTTTTAAATAAAAATTGTAAATATATACAAAATTATCATTATCAATGATTCACCATATTTTGAGATCTAGTATCTACAATTTAGAGTTTAGACATTCTTAGTAAATCCTCCTGTATATATATTTATATATTATATACATAATTAAAATACATTATATATTAACATCATTGTGTACCAATTATAAACCCAGTAGCATGTGTTTTTCCAAACACTGATCCAAACAACTCAGTTTTAGCCTCATCAGTCCATAAATTGTCATCGATAGGGGCCATAAAATTAACTAACTTTGTATGTACAGCATATCTTATTTTTCTACCTTTTGTTGCCTTGGTGTCTATTTTTCTTTTCATCTTACTCCTCAAATTTTGAAGTTGTACCCATTGTCTACCTAACTGCACAGGATCTGTTAAAGATGATGATTTAAATTCAATCATTCCCTAAGAAGTTGATGATAAAAGTCATCATCATCAAATATTTCACAATTGTATTCTTCAGTTGGTTTTTCTTGTTTACTTTCCTCTTCATTATCACTGGCGCTATCCTCACCAATGATTTTGTAGTCATTTCTTTTTAATCTTGTTCTTTTAATTAATTTGTCTTTATCCCCTAAGGAATGTTCAATATGTTGGATAATGGAGTGATTGTTGGCAGTACTTTTTAAAACTGGCATTCTAGTTTTTTCATGCCATTTTTTAATCACACTGTTTCTATAATCTTTGTATAAATTATGCTTTAGTTGTAAATCATTTGCAAAATCTGCAATCTTCAGCCTTTTTTTAGGTCTTTCTTCATTTTCATCTTCACTTAAATCAGCATCAGCTTCATCTTCAGTGTCACTTGGAATTTCTTCATCATCAGGATCATCACTTACAGTTTTTTATTTGATAACATGTGTTTCTTTGTTTCAGGATATTTTTTCCACACAAGATCCTGTAAACACAAAAATTTGTCTAGTAGTGTGGATACAGAGTTTTTGGTTTTCTCAACAGTAGTGCTAAAATCTTGTCCTGACTCCTTCTTTATCTCCTTATATTTTTCATAGTTGGGCATTTTGTTAGCAGCTAATAAACACTTTTGAACCTGAATTCTCATTTCAAGAAGACCCTCCCAAATATGCATTTGATTTTTTACACATAATCCTTTTTTAGCTTGAGTTGAAACATCTGTGGTTTTTAAAGTTTCGAAATTTGATGTATCTTCTAATTCTGTGTTATCAGAATGATCATCATATTCTTGATCTGACTCAGCTGATTCATCATCATTATTTGATTTTTCAGATTCATTACTACCATTTTCGTCATCTTCAAGTTCTTGCTCTTCATTTGAACTATCAGATTCTGACTCTAAAACAAAAGTAAAACATGCATTTAAATAATAGTACACATTAAATTTGAATTTATGTTGTAAATCTTGTCTTAAATATGCAAAATAATTATTACCTTCCATATCATTACCAGATTCAGAAAATTCACTAGAATCATCAGGATTTAAATTTCTTCTGCTTCCTTTCTTGCCGGCATACCTTTCATCAACGTCAGCTAATAGGTCAATGTTGTCTTTTCTAAATTTACTCCCATGATTATTTTCTTCTCATTTTCTTGAGAATATTCTGCATTTAATTTCGCCGTGGTATCATCTTCGTAATCATCTTCCGGATCTATTTCATCAGGAGTGGTAGTTAAGAGTGATGAAATTTTGTCAGCCAACGTCCCTTTCTTCATTTTAGTTTTAAATTATAATATAAAGATTTTTACAAAATCCAGCACCAAAACATCTGAAAAATTTAGGTTATGTTTTGACTTTTGACAATACCACGAACGGCACGACGCCTCTCCTAGCCACGGCCCACGGGCCACGATACCTTCTAGCATCTAGCCACTACCATGTCTAGCCACTATCAACACCGCTTTCAACCACCTTTCACCTTACCACCTATCAACTATCACTCTTACTCTTGTATGAGAGCTCGAGTCGTTAGAGACATGCTCAAAGCTCAGATTCTGTAGGAAGCCAAAAAATTCTGTATGTAATAAACAATCAGAATGTCCACTCTATATTATACGTCATTGGCTCACTCTCCATGGAAAATTAAGTACGCGCATCTCGTTCGTGCAGACGTTCCGCCATGTTTTAAAGGGAACCAGTGTTGTTTAATGAAAATTTATGTGGTGTGCATAGAAAAATTAACCCAGTTTAATTGACTTACGGCAATCATAGACATAGGCAGGAATCACACTGCTCGACCAGACCGACCGTCCACGATCGACCAAAATTACAAGTCTATGAAAATGTATGCGTTGACTCAGACTGGTGGACCGTCCATCACTTACAGCGACCGACCGCGATCGTCCAGTTTTGAAATTCGGACTTGTTGGAATTTTTGGTCGTTTGGTCGATGAATATGGAACATTTCGCATTCATTTGTGCTGTTTTGAGCTAAGACATTGACCATTGACATTTAAAAATTTGTAATTAACCTATAAAATTGGATTTGTTTTTGTTTCTTTGGATTATGTAGTTTGTATATCCAATACAAAAATTAAGGTTCTATTAATTTTTTGGAAATGCTAAGGAATACTCTGGAATACTAAGTTTTTGGAAACAGGACTTGTTCATGCGATAATAATTTTGAAATTTTATAAAATCATTTAATAGAATGGGGTATAACACAAATAATTCTCCTTGTTGGTGTCTTTTTAAAAAATGTCTTAAAAAAACAAACTGTCCTACGCCTATAAAGATATCAAATAAGTGATAAATAATTTATCAGTAGAATTATTGCTGCTAATTCTATCCATAATTCAATTTTTTACAAAGAACCCAATAAAATGAAATAACAAAAATGTGGTTATGTTGCTACACACTCCTGACGTCTTGATGGTCGGTCGATCGATCGTGGACGAGTAATGTGAGTTTAAAAATAAAAATACAAAAGTTGGTTGTTCGCCGTCGGACGGTCGGTCGTGGTCGATCGAGCAATCTGATTCCTGCCATAATATGCAATTATTTTCGCATTGTTAAATATAATATATTTAAATATAATTATAATTAAACAAAAATATAAACAAACATAACAAAACAAATCATATGTCGATAAAGAAAGACCCACTACACTGAGAGTGGGCATTCTGATTATTTATTATTCTGTGGTATTACGTCACTTTTTCAGTTCAGTGTTATTTTTTTATTTTTCTTTCCCATTGAAAAGGAGTAACTTGATTGTGATAACATTAAAAAACAGTTTCCACTTTTTAAATGGTGTTACCTTCAACACAGAATAAGAAACAATCAGAATGTCCACTCTCAGATGCCGCCTTTGAAGTTTGTTAACACGCGAACGCCATGTTTTAGACGGAATTGAGAAATTTGTGACAAGCTACGACAGAACTGTAATTTCAATTTTTAGAGATTAATAATTTAGTACATTTGAAATAATTTAATCTAGTCTTCAACTAAAAGTACGAATAAAATAGTGCATATTATGTCTGTAGTTGCCGTAAATAAATTAAACCGGGTTAATTGGTCTATGCACACTAGATTAAATGTCACTGAACAGCACTGGTTCCGTTTAAAACATGGCTGATTCCGTCTGTGAGAACGAGATGCGCGCATGATATAAGGACACATGTATGCTCACGCGCATCTATTTTGAACAGCCAATCACGTTTACGGACCAAAATCCGCCATTTTGAAGGCGGCAATTCAAATATGTACAAAATTGATACGAAATATCGTAGTTAAAATAAAATAAATAAAATTAATAATTATACATTAATCCAATTAATTCATATTTAAAATGATCTGAACAGACTCTTGCTAAAATAATTTTTAAAAAATCGAAACAAAACAAAACACATTTACATTTAAATTCCAGTACATTGCAAAGTGAAGGTTAAAAAATGCAAAAGTAAACAAAGCAGACGTCACGCATGTAGAGGTGGTTGGTCCAAGTATTTTTTGTGGATCAGGTAAGGTATGCTCACTTACACTTACTATGAGTACAGTACCCGTAACCATGGACGTATAAATAAAGATCTTTATTTATACGGCCATGACCATTACTCGTTTTTTTGGTCTGGTGGACTGACTGAACTGGTGGATTTTGGTCGGCGCAGAAATGGGCAAAAACGAGTCCACTAGTGAGCATACCTTGTTTCCTTATATCATGGATGCGCGTACTTATCTTTTCAAGCAAAGTGGGCATTCTGATTGTTAATTATTATATGCCTTCAATGTGTACCATCGAGTAAAAAGACAAAGAGGGAATCTAATCCTTATGAAAAGGAGACCAAAAAAGGTGGCCTCTGATGGCGGACATATCCGGAAATGCGAATGCGCCAAATTTAAAGTTTTCCGACACTTATTAAAAGTAGCTATATAATATTTTGTATATAATATAATAATGTGTCTTAGACGAAGAAAGTTTTAATTAATTATTAATGGTAATAGTCTAAAATGCGACACAATTGGTAAAAAACTTCAATATACATAAGATTTCATGTGACATTTGGGACAAACAATAACATAACCCAACTTAATTTGATGTCAAATGTCAAACAAGGAGTGAGACTCTCTTTCCTTGTTTAATGTGGCCTCTAAAGATCGCACTTCCTGTCTAACAATATTTTTTCCCCCACTACCTTTACATTCCCTCTATTGTCTTTTTGCTCGATGATGTGTACATTATGTGAAAACAGAGACACCACAGTGATACCAGTTATCTTTGTTTCCTATTCTGTGATTTACAGAAGATAGGACAGGACAGGACAAAATGACACTGGTGACAACTGAATTACAAATTGAAAATTGACACACTGATTGACATTGACAGTATTGACACAAGCATTTAATAATAAAAGGAAAAAGTGTTCAAAATAATTTATTTCATGTTCATTTAATACTAAATTGTAGATTTAAAGCGTTCGTTTATATAATTTAACTTTGTAAATGCATATATTGGAGTAAGATACATTGTATAAGCTATAAAATCAACATTAAAACTCAACAAGCTATATACAATGAGTTCAGGATTTATAACTGAATCAGAAGTAGTAGAAATTAGGAAGCGAAGACAAGAAGAATGGGAAAAGGTGCGAAAAGCAGATGATCCAAAAGGTAAATAATATATGTATCTATATTTTTACTTCCTGGACTCCTTGGTTAGTTTATCTTCTTCTTCTTAAGGTGCCTTCTTACTGAAGGTTGGCCATAACTACAGCAAATTGCTCTCTATAGTTTATACACTGCTTAATTCTTTAGTCGCCGTTAACATCAGAAGGCACCTGAATAATTGCATGCAACTATATTAAAATAGACATTTGCAGCTGTAGTACATAGAAATAAGGTAAAAAGTACCCTATTAGGAACACTGACCCCTTCAAATATCTGAGGTTTTTTTTAGCATTATGGGCCTCCATAACCTTAAACCGGGGTTTCCTAATTTTTTGAATTACTAACAATTTAAGGCCAAAAATGCACAATTTTAAAAACTTTCGTGTTCCAGTAAAAAGTAAATAACTCATCTTAGAAAACTGTAAAGAACCTAAAATTTTTTCATTTTAATAAATTAATGTTATTGTAAAAATAAATCTACAACCTTCATATTGTGTGGAAAGTTGGTTCTTATAGTGTTAAAAATGTGGTTACAATTTCAGATTTATTCATCAACTAGTTTAAAAGTTATTCAATGTGTTTATCCCAAACAACTTTTTTTGCAATAACATATTGTATAAGAAAATGAACTTACAATAATATTACAGGTAGCATAAGCAAGAAAGAGGGAGAGTTATTCTATCAATAGCATTTAAAAGAAGTGGGAAAAAACATTTCCAATATTGCAATTTTTTGTTTATAAAAAATTAGAATAACTTTTTCACTATTTGCCAGGAAATTGTTTTTTCATGTTAGCTGACATTTTAACACAAATTAAAAAAGGTGTCTTAAGACAACTAGGAATGAAGTTAGTCAATTTTTTGTCTACTCTCTACTCTCAAATTGCTACACCATAAGAAACTCCAAAGCAAGGCATATGCTCTAGAAGAAGATGAATTGAGGAGCGTCTATGCAAAACCACACATGTCCATTAAAAGTAGTTTTGAGTTATTACACAAAAACTGTTTACATAGTAGCAATTGATATTTCATTTACTGAAAGTTTCAGTAGAAACACCTATAGGGGCATTTATTCATAAAACATTTTAAAACATTTAATTTTTTTTGAAAATAAGTGAAAAAATACCATATATATTTTGGACATGTTCAATTTTGCTCGAACTCTATGGACATGTGTAGTTTTGGCCGGACCGACTAATGGACAAGTGTTACTTTGAACAAAAATTTATTAACAAAAATCCTATTTCTGTTAAATAACAAAAGAACATCATTATGCAGAGAGTCCCTTAGACTAAACAAGATAAAAGCAATAATTTACACATGTAACTTTCCACAATCAGTTTCCAAACATTCACATATCTCCTCTTCGTCGATGTCGATTTTTGTTGATTCTTCATCATTTTCTCTTTGGGGAGAATTTCCATAAATAATGTTTTTAAAAAATGCAAGCTCCGGTAGTTCTTCCCATTTAATTTTCTTTTCATCGTTATTGAATTGTTTTTCCATCAACTGCTGTATGTTTTGTTTCTTCTCTTTAGTAATTTCATTTCCAAGGGGTTGCTGTTTCAGTTTGAATTTTTTTTCAGCTTTGCCTCTTTTAACCATTGAAAGATATGGATTCAATTCGATTTCGTATCTATAAAATTCAGTTCCCCTGTACTTGATAGTTATAGCGTTGTTTTTGGTCTTAAATTTTTTTAGTTCTATGCGTTTAAAGTTTTTTATGCCTGGAATTTTGTTGTAGAGGTCATCCGTAATGTTTTTTATATTGTATAAAATCCAGTCTTTTCCTAAAACATTAACTTTTCCAACATTACGATAAACTTCATTGTATTCTTCTACACTTATGATCACATTTTTGCGTTTTAGAAACCTCTCTACCCTGCCAAATGCCCGGTCTGCTGGGAGGAAACTATGCCCTCGTACGGGAAAGTGTATTATTATATTTTGAATTGACGCAGGAGATTCTAGTAACCAGCAGGCCAAAACATGCATTATATACGAATTTTTGTTTTGGCCTGCGCAGCCATCACAAAATAATCGTATGGTTTCACAATCTGCTAGATCCAAAGAGCGCAGATGGTATAATAAGGCTGACCCAACCTCAGTTGAACCTCGTTTTGCTTGTGACTCATCCCATGTATAAAATGAAGGATGTCTGCTTTCCATATCTACACAACAAAATGCATAAAAGTTTATTTGCCGGAGATAAAAGGCATCTTGGATAGGTGTTTTCGGAAGCGGATGGACCTGTTGCAAATCGAAAGCGAATGAAATGCTTCTTGGGGGAGACTCTTTTGCTAATTTGTAGAATGCATTTGCGCGTAACTTATGAATTCTTAAGTCGGTCATTGTTTTTGCTTTATTCTCCCCTGTTTCTTTACTAATGGCATATTTCAAGTTCAGACAAGTACCACATACATCACATGCTGGTGACTTAAAACCAATATTAAAGTTACGATAGAAAATATTCTTGAACATTGTAAGACTTACTTTGTATTCATTGCTTTGCGCATTGTTATACATTTGAAAAATTTTGTTGATACTTAAGTCACATGACATATAAATTCGTGAGGATTTCTTACGATTATAATGAGTTTCGGATGCCGGTAATGAAGCTATGAATTCTTTAACTTTGGCTCTTTTCTGAGCGCTTTTGCGTGACACTCTATCCCCACCGCGCTTTTCTTTAGGTATTTGTCCTGATTCTAGGAATTTTGCAACTGTGCGTATTCGACCAGCAGAAATATTGAAAGCAGCCATAAGAAATTTTTTACATACCGGAACAGTCTTATTTTTTGTACGGAAGTAATAAAAAATATGAAAGCTTTTAGGTTTAGCATTGCTTTCTTGGGTATTAACCCTCCCACGTCGCCTTTGAGGGGGGCATACTGACATAAAATGGCACAACTTCTGGTCTTGGTCTACTTTACTGGTATAACCATACAATTTTTCTCTCTGTAGCTTAATCTCTTTTAAGGAAACTGAAGAACAATTTAACTTTTTGCTGTTGTGCTTACAAGAACGTTTAAATTTTTTCATATGGGGATCTACATCCGCATACCTTAAAAAAAAAGAAACACTGATAATCGCTTATCGCTATGATAAAAATAATTCCTACCTTCTAAACCTGGCTTCGTCGCGTGTTGATATATTACTTTGCCGTTTTCTAGAACCAACGTTAATTAACCTCACAGACATATCCATATTCTAATAATAAAACTGATGATTTAAATTATTTAACGTAACAATAATATCTCACTCACAGTCAAACCAGAAATTTAGACTACTCACTGTTTGCTACTTATAATTTGTAGGTTAGGTAATACAGAAACCGCGCGGAGAAATCAGATGTTTAGGAAGGCAGGATTTAATATTGTCATATTAGGCTAATACTACCCTCTATTAGTGAATATAAAAATATAAAGCAACTCGCAAATCCGCAATACAGAAAACTGTATTATGTGGACAAGTGCAGTTTTGTAGTAGTCAATAAATTAGTCGATATGTTTTTCCAAGGACATGAGTAGTTTTGTTCGAAATATTTAATGAAATTTTGCGTTTGGACAAGTGTTGTTTTGGATGACTTTTCGTATATTCCCATCTGTTTAATATGGGACAAAATGAGTTTTGCTCAATTCTGACGCCATATTCGGATTTAGTTCAGGAAATTCTTCAAGATTCAACTCCTAACTCACTTTAGATGTAATGTGGACATGTGTGGTTTTGCATAGACGCTCCTCAATTATATAACATAAAATCATAGATATACTAAAATTTCTAAAAAGACTAGGAGCATGGGGCTGCTTTAATCACTAAAGAATGATCAGAGAAGACAACAAAAGGTATAGATAGTAGTTCTTATAAGTTACAGAGCGAGTTGTCTTGTAAAAGTACTAACATTTTCTTGTTTATAGTACAAGATTTCAGTTCATAGTGGGCATTAACAATTTCTATGAAATGTTCTCTCATTTCAGTATTTGAAATTTGTTCTCTGGGCAAGGATGCTGATATACTCTTTGGTTTAACAACAAACCATAATATTTTTAATATTTTTTTTTATAAAATGTCTGCCTTTTAAGGTAATACTCATAAAGTTAAAAGTATGTTTATTTAAATTTTTAGTTTAGATAAATCTTTTGTGTAGTGTACTAGCTGACACAGGAAAATTCATACTGTCTTATGGTTTGCCTACATTTCCACATACTACATAAAATTGATTATAAGAGAGATAAGTGCTTTCTATATTTAGTTCACAAACATTCAAGGATTGGCATTTCTTTATCATAATGCAAATTCAAGATGAAGTGGATAATAAATTCTTATGAAATATAATACTATATTAGTTGGTATCATTGGAACTCTCGGAGTGAGAACTTCCTCGTCCTTAAATTTCCCTATGAGTAACCTCACATGTATTATAATTGCCTTTGCGTTTTCACACCACCAAGCGTATCCCGTTACATTATTTAGTTAGTTGGCTGTGATTTCTAATTATGATAACAACTTAGCCTACCTTTAGTTGTAAATTATACAGTGGTAAGTAAAGCACATGTCTGTGTTTGTTACACAAACAATAAATTTGAAGGAATACAATGAACTAATGACTTTATTTTGAATTACTAAGTTTTTAACTCATCTGTATTCTTGTTCTTTGCCTCTAAAATTACAGGGCAAATTTGAAATTTTAAGTAGAAACCCCTATTTTTTATTGCAGATTTAGATTCTGCAAAAATCGTAAAAAACTGTAAAAGTCAGAAAAAGTTGAGTCAAAAAAAAATGGATAAAACTTGTTTATTTTTTCACATAGAATCCTAATATGCAATAAAAATGTGGTTTTTTATTTAAGATGGTCAAAGTTGCCCCCGGTCCACCCCAGGAGATGGAGGTTGGCGTCATGTCTGATGCCATTCAATATGTTTTTAAAAAATATTGAACATTTTTGGTGGTTTTTTGTTTGAAAGTGTATTTCTCAGGATATTATACTGTTTTCATAATTTTCCTAGGGTATCACAATAAATTGTTTTTTTTTTCGAATATAGCATCTATCATCTATCAAGAACTCAAAAAAAAGTTTTTAATAAAAAGTACTTATTTGTTTATAAGGAATCCTAATCTGCAATATAAAATGGGGATTTCTACTTAAGATTTCAAACTTCACCCCTCCCCCGCTCTAGGGAAGGATCTGGAGAGTAGTGTTTGGTGTCACTCAATAGATTTTTGAAAAATATTGAACATTTGTTTTTTCATTTTTTATCCAATGTTAATTTCGGTAAATAGTAATTTATTTGTGTACAGAACGTCCAGAAGAACCATATGATAATAGGAGTTTGTATGAAAAACTACAAGAACAAAAACAGAAAAAGGACCTTGAGTATGAAGAAGCACACAAATTAAGTAAGTTCCTAATTGCTTTTATCTTATTAGACCATTATTAGTTATTGGTATATTTGTAACTAGACAGTTAGAACTAGGAATCAAAAAAACCTCAGTATTACATGTTAAAATTTATTTAAAACCTTTATTTGAAAATAGCGATGACTCTGTGTAACAGAGCTGATTGGCCAGCTCTTGTTGTCTATTGTTAGCTGTTGGTACTGTTAAATTCAGTTTTTGCTATTTTTGAGTAAGAGTTTAACATGTTCCCTTGTAATTTTTTAATCAGAATTATCAAAATCTTAAATCATCGATAGTATACTACAATTTTTTAAATTTAAATTAATTTTAACATGTAATATACAGATTTTTATACCAAGCTGTATTCGCTCCGTGCGCGACCATGGTAGGGGTACTTTGAAACGATGCCAGCGTGCCTAACAGCGAAATATGACAAAATTGGGCCTATCTTTTTACACATAAATTTTATCAAAAATGTGTGCAAATACATGTTGCGTATTTAAATTGTGCTAATAATAGCAAAAATAGTGAGTGTAGTTTTTATAGGTTCACAAAGATTACATATAAATTAGAGAAAAGAAAAAGATGGATTCATACTATTAATATGAAAAAGTAAATATCACATAATTTCATGTTTATGCAATTGAAATACGAAAAAATTTAAATAATTTACCTTGAATGATATTTCATAAGGCTTCAAGCTAACTGCAGATAACTTTAGCTTTTATATCATAACTTTTACTATTATTGTTTTTAATTATATGCTCTTTCGCCTGAAAAACTTGATTTGCCAGTATTAGATTTTTCCCTTTCTTTTCCGTTTGGGGTTGAAACAATATGTTATGATGAATTTTGAGGAACCCAGGTTTTAATACATTTATTTTGTACATAAACTTAAAAAATATAGTTAAAAAACTAATTATTATTAATAATTGTCAATTTCGCATGTATTTAACAATGTCAAACATATGTCATATGTTTAACCTGAAAATTGGGAGGTCCAAAACTGTCAGATGAAGGCAGTAGGTGTCGCGTCAGTCACACATGGAGTGAATACCATAATTTTTAAATTGTAGCCATGCCGACTGCTGGGAATTTTCCCTTAGTGGTTTTTTCATTATGTGTATATTTACTTCTGCCTGCTGTGTCAAAACTACAGAAGCATACTCAAGATGTGGTCTCATCCTGGCAGTGTTATATTTTTTAATCTAACAATGAAACACTGAAAATTTTTGTTTTCAACAATATCACAAAATTTATTTTAAATTATTATCACTACAACAGTTTCTGCCAGAGTGCCTATCTCAAGTGATCTATTTTTGGTACACTAGAGAATCTACTAAAAACCAGGCCGAAAATCTACTAAAAACTACCAAATGATGCTACGCATGTGCCATTGCAAAAGAAATTGTTTATATGCTTTAATATTATCTGACGTGAAAACCATGAGAACTAATAGTAGTGTAATAATCTATTACCATTGTTTAAATAGTACTAGTTAGACAATCCTTATGGAACAAATGTTTGACTTATAATCTGCCGTCATGTGGCGGCCTCTAGTCATAAATTTAAAAAAACTATTAACAGAGACTAAATTCGCTGCAGCATTCTACTCGAGTATATTTTTAGGTGTCTGATAACTAATTCAAACTTGTACACGGATGCCAAATTGTGAAGAAAATATATGACAAATAAAATGCTTATTGTTATTGTCGTATACGTCTTGTGAAAGATAACTTGACTATTTCGAGCGATTATTTCAAATTGTTTTTATACTTTGAGACTTGCTAAATTTAAATCGGTCAGTAATCTATTTAAATGAAGTAGATAAATGCTGCCGTTTTTTTTTTAAATTTTTATTAGTTTACCAGATATTAAATTTGGTTATATGATTTGTTAGAAAAGGATTAAATATTTAATTGAAATAGACTCGATTGCTATCGTCTTAGAACACTCATGCGGGGGTTTATTTTTTAGTCAAGACTAAAGAGAGATTTGGTCAAGATTGTAAGACTTAAATTTTTCAATTAAGTTTTATCATTGTTTAAAAAAGAAAATCTTTTTAAAAAGTGGTTTTATGTACGTTTTGTGTAAATTAAATTTTTTATATTTTATTCTTTAAAATGACGTTTGGAAATATAGTAATTTCATGGGTTTGGTTTTTTGATAATGGTTTTGAAACAATAAACATATCGATATGCCACAAGAGGCAACATATATTTGGGCAACATAAATTAATCTATGTGTTGGGATAAAAGGAATAATAATTAACAAAACTTTAATAAACTGTACCCTTTACTTTATTTACTTATGTATTTTATAATATACACACCATTTTTATATTTCTGTTTACATAAATGAGAATGTTCGTCCGATCTGAGCTGTTTATTAATGAAATAATTTTAAATTACAAAGGTATAGAAATTGCAAAAATTAAATTCGCATTATTTTAATAGTTATATAACACATCAAAGTTCTAATATCTACACATAAACAATATTAACAAAATCATAATTCAAGGTAAAAAAACAAAACAAAATTGTTTACATTAATAATTATAGAAATTGATTGTAACATTGTTAATGTAATCTCCTTTGAAGTGTACAATAATTATGAAATATTTTTTATTGACCAATGGTGATAACGGCATATCTATAAGCTGTTCAACAAAATCGTCAGTTCAGAATTAACACTGTGCGAAACGGTATTGGAACCGGTTGATGGTTGTTTTACTGCATAGTGTAGCATAATGTTACTGCATAGATGTTTTTTTTTTTAATTGGTTAGCTCCAGACTTTCCAATGCAGCATTACCTACAACAATATTATTATTAATACAACGGAAAAAAAGCAACTTTCTGCAAAATAAAGTAAAAAAATAATTTAAGTTCTGTATTCAAAATATAAATAGCTTGGCAGTCATGCCAATATTTGTTTATATATATATATATATATATATATATATATATATATATATATATATATATACCGTCTTCAGTACGGTGCAGCCAAGTTAGAAAAGGAGCATATTAACTTAGAAAACGTTCACTACATGAGCAATGCGACCAATTTGTAACAATAATGTTAGAAGACTCTGAGGTTTCCAGGGCAATAACTAACACGTCCACGGGAGAAGTAGTAATAGTATATTATGTAATCAATTCCCAGTAAAAATAACAGGCAATACCAACCAACCAAAGTAATGCTACAATTTTTATGGATTTTTGTTCGGTATTGTTATGTCGAAAATTTATTTACACAAAGTACCTCGACAACTATGCTCATTGGTACAAGAACAATAATATTAAATATAGAATAAAATGCGAACAAATAATAATTATATTACTTTAACTAATCTATTACGTTAAGTCTTGTGGTAGAGTTGAACGGTTTTTAGAAACTGTATAGTTTTTGTTATCTTTGTACGGTTGTTAAGCGGTTCCTTAGAGTAGGTTTCAAGTTCCGGACTTTATACAAATTGGTGAATTGTTTGCAGTTGGTAAGTTTGGTGTGGTTGATTCGTAGTCTTCTAATAGTCGATGCTTCTCTTCTAGTTAGAAAGTCCAGGGGGAGATGACCAATAAAAGATTGAAGTTTATGAAGAGTTGTTTTAGTTTTTTTGCTATAAGTTTTGTTAAGTATCCTCTACTAACTTTTTGAAAACGAATTTCGAAATTCGTTAGCTAGGTGAATTTGGGTGACTCCAGTCACCCCATGGTTGGTAGCTTCTTTGGCAAAATGATCTGCTGTTTTATTACCAGTAATTCCGGTGTGAGAAGGCAGCCATATGAGAGAGACTATTACATGGTAAGCAGAGAGATTTTGTTATATGTCATGAATGTTTTGAACTAATAGGTGGTCAGTGAAAATTGTATTGACTAAATAGATATATGAAAGGTAATCTAAACAAATGGCAATATGTCTGTTTCGATGGGGGATGCATTTAAAGGCCAAGAGAATACTATATAGTTCACCTGTGCAAACGTTGCATGTTAAGGGTAACCGAGATGATCTTTCAAGTTCATGTTTAGTGGTTACTGCACAACCAATACCAGTGGTAGTTTTAGAAGCATCTTTATAGAGAATTAATTTCTAAAAATGCCTTCTTTATAAAAAGGTTAGAAGATTAAAGTTTGTTAAAAATGGTGAGTGAGGTATATGTTGAAGGGAGATCTTTAGCCCAGAGGGGAAGTAAAGGTAGAAGAAATGAATTAGTCAGAAGTAGGTTCATATTTTTAAGTAGTGAAGAAATTAATTGAGGTATAGGTTTTATGATAAGGTGTTGGTTATTGTTAGTGGAAGAAGACGGCATTGTGGCAATTACGGAATGAACGGGATTAAAGAGATTTGCGGATGTTGATGTAGCATACGAAAGTAGAAGAGATTATCGTCTTAGGTTAAGAGAAAGTTCATTAGATTCACGGTATACACTCTTAATAGGACTAAAGCGAAAAGTGCCTAGACCTAGATGTAGTATCATCGGCACCCCATTGAAGATGACTGAGGGTTTTAAAATTGTTCAACCTTTTTAAACAATTGGTTTTAAGTTCAGAGATTTGATTCTTCCAATTTAATCATAACTATCTGTTCCAATATACTGTTTTATGTATATCAAACATAAAACAGAGAATTTTACATTAATTAACAACAGAAAGTGGAGAATTGTTATTTAAAATTTGGGGTACGAGTGGAAATCCTTCTAAAAATTTTTATTAATTTGGTTTACTCTGAGAGAATGACAATCCTAGTTTGTTAGATTTACCTTGAAGTAGATTTATTGCACTTTGTATAAGTTTATATGAGGTTGGGACATATTTAACAGCAGTAAATGATTAGGTCATCAGCGTATTGAACATATTTGATGGGAGGCAAATTTCGTTTGCAAGAATGAATAGAGTTAAACTAAATGCAGATTCTAAAGGGACACCCTAATTTTGAGGACGGGATTGAAAAATTTTACCATTGGCAAGGACTTTAAAGATTCTTCCAGTTAAATCATTT